GTCGCCGGCGGCCGACGCCGCTCAGCTGGACTCGGCGGAGGATTTCGAGGTCCTGGAGGAGGAGGAGGAGGAGGAGGACCTGAGCGAGCTGCCCCCGCTGGAGGACGTGGGCAGGCCACCGGCCCCGCCGCGGGAGGATGCCCAGGCCTCGGAGCGGGGTGGGGGGGAGGCAGCTGAGGACCCCCAGGAGTGGCTTGACATTTTGGGTAAGAGCCCAGGCCACTGTGGCTTCCCGGTGCTCCCCGCGTCATGAAGGCCATCCAGGAGTCAGAGCAGGGCAGTGGGAGCGAGGATTTTCCCTCCTGGCCATGAGCTGACGTGCCTCCGGATTCTCCTTTCCCAGGGAGCGGCTTGCTCAAGAAGAAGACGCTGGTGCCAGGCCAGGGGGTGGACACGCGTCCCCACAAGGGCCAGGACGTGACCGTCCGCCTGAAGGCCACACTGGAGGATGGCAGCGTGGTGGAGGAGAACCCTGCCCTCACCTTCACGCTGGGGGACTGTGACGTCTTGCAGGTCAGGGCTGGGACAACGCTTGCCTGCTTTTCGTGCTGCCTTGTTTTTCCTTGTGCAGGACCTTGCCTTGGGGGGCGTGGGGAGGGTTTGGGGTTGGTGATGTCCCTGTTTGTGGGTCAGAAGCGGCCCCTCTGCCCTTGCTTGCGCTCCCTCCCCACGATGTTGTTCCTTGTAGGCTCTGGACCTGTGTGTGCAGCTCCTGGAAATGGGAGAGACAGCTTTGATTGTGTCAGATGCAAAGTACTGCTACGGTGCTCAGGGCAGGTGAGCAGGGAGGGTGGAGGGCGGAGCAGCATGGCCCCAAACAGGGCTGTCAAAGCTGTCCCCTGCGCTCCCAGTGACAGCCCAGCCAACAAGCCCAGCATCCCTGGGCCGGGAAACCCTGCTCACTTGCCACACACAGTTGACGGCAGCGTGTCCTGCCTGGCGGGAGTGATCTGCATCACACCCCGTCGAGGTTCCGTGGCTCTGATTTCTGGGCTGTGGTGCTAAATCTATGTGGCCCAGTGGCTGGTGGAACTGGCAGAGGTGGCAACAATGCCGTGGGTTTGTGCCCCTCTTTGTGCAGGAGCCCTGACATCCCACCCAACGCGGCCCTCACCCTGGAGGTGGAGCTGCTGTCGGCTCGGGATGCGCCGGACCTGGAGCTGCTCAGCGGGAAGGAGAAGATAGAGCTGGCCAACCGCAAGCGGGAGCGCGGCAACTTCTTCTACCAGCAGGCAGATTACGTGCTGGCTATCAACTCCTACGACATCGCGCTCAAGGTCATTGGCTCCAGCTCAAAAGGTACCTGCTGCTGCCCTGGGCGAGGGCTGCCTGGGCTCCCTTCCCCCTGTAACCTGACTCTGGGGTCTTTGCAGTCGACTTCAGCCCGGACGAGGAGGCTGAGCTGCTGGACGTGAAGGTGAAATGTCTCAACAACCTGGCAGCTTCTCAGCTTAAATTGGACCATTACGAAGCGGCCCTCAAGTCCTGCAACCTTGTCCTGGAGCACCAGCCGGGGAACATCAAGGCTCTCTTCCGAAAGGGCAAGGTGGGGCTGGGCATGCAGCCATGGCAGTTCCTTCTCCACAGCGTAGCCGGGCCCAGCCATGGCAGACGGAGCATGACTGAGCATGGCTCAATCCATATCTCGCCTTCCAGGTCCTGGCTCAGCAGGGCGAATACAGAGAGGCCATCCCCATCTTAAAGGAGGCGCTGAAGCTGGAGCCTTCAAACAAGGTAGGCTGCCGTGCGTGCCACCAGCAGTCCTGCTGAGCTGGGTGTCTGCAGGTCGCTCTCTTCTTGTCCCTGTCCCTGCAAACCTCGGCGTCCCCTGTGGAAGGCTGAAGCCCCCCCATAGCTGTTCCCAGTTTCCTCCATGAAGGGAGGCTGGAAATAGACCCCAGGGCCTGGGCAGGCATGGGGTGATGTACCCCATGGTGCAATGTCTGAGCTTGGCTGGGCTGGTGGGTCCCTTATCTCCGTGTTGCGAGACTCCCTCTTTGCCCTTTGGTCCTTGTGGTGGCAGGACTCCCTGCCAACCCATCCCTGCTTCAGCAATCCTGCATGTACGGGGTCCTGGCTGCTCCTGCTTCCCCGGGTGGCTCCAGCAGCTCGTGCCACGGCTGCGGGAAGTGGAGCAGAGCCGAGTCCCCGCAGACTTGCTTAGCAGCCCGGAGCGTGATTCACTGGGCGGCAGGAGTGGCCCAGACCTCGGTCCAGCGCCCAGGCCAGGGCGAGCTCTGGGTCAGGAATTTCCTGTCAGTTAATGATCAGCTGCAGGACCAAAGCCTCGGGAGAAATCAAAATCCAGCACCAGGAAATGGCCCCAGCAGGAGCGAGCCTGGGCAAGCTGGAGGAGAGGCAGGGGAGGTGCTGCCAGCGTGGGGTCGAGGTGGGGGGCTTGGCTCTACAGGTGGGCTTTAGTCCTTGACTGGCTCCATCATTTTATCCGCCTCTTTCCTGGGCGTTCCACCAGACCGTCATGATCCGCGTCGCATTCCCTGGTGTCTGAGGGGCATGATGAGTAGGATGGGGCACTGTGCAAGCAGGTGCTTGGTGGCCCCATGGCTCATGGTCCAAGATCTCCTGTGGGGAGGGATGAGCAGGATCTCGAACCCTTCGCTTCCCGACAAGGTTAGGGTGGGCAGCTGTGGCAGAGGTGCGTGAGCAGCACAAGCAATGCGGGCAGCACTGGGAGCAGCTCCCCCCGCACGTCTCCGACTGTTGTGAGGGCGGCTGCTCGCCAGCCCATTCAGACAAAGCTTTTAATTGGAGGGGGGTGAAAAATCAAAATGCTTGCTAGTGACGTTACCAGTGAAACCACAAGTACAGCAAATTACTGGCCTCTCCGGCTGGCTGCCGGGACTCCCGGGGAAGTGGCAGTGCCACTCCAGACGGCAGCATTAAACACACATCAGTGACTCACGGGCTACGGCTACCGGTGGCGAAAACAGACTCGAGAAATGCTTGGCTCCACCTGCCCCGGATGAGGAAACCTGGCTCTCTGGGGCTGTTGGCACCTTTCAGCTGATACAGACCATCAGCTGCTGGGCTTCCTTCTCCTAACCCCTTGGAAACGCATGTTCTGGGAGCAGGAGAAGATGCCGATGTTTGTCCTACACCAACGTGCCAGCCCCGGTGAGGTCGGTGGTGCCTGCAGGCGTTTTGCATTCTCCAGATGTCCAAAGTCTCATGTTCAAGGCAGCGGTGCCAAGTGTGGCGTGGTCTGGTGAAGTCCCGACCGGTCTCTGGGTGAACTGACGTGTGCTGGAACTAGTGTGGGTCACTGGTGGCGGTGCTGGTGTTTTGGGGAGGCGTTGGAGCCGCCCAGAGCGTGGTGTCCCCAGCAGAGGGCACAGCACGGCCACGGTGCCCTTCCTGCCACCGCAAATGGCTGGTGGTGCCGTGATCGGCTCGCCCCCAGCTCGCCGGCGCTTGCTGCTTTTTGGGAGACGGTGCCTGTGAGCTCCGTGCAGGATGCAGAGCTTTCTCCCGCAGCGCTGCCTCCAGCCCCAGCCATCGCTGCTGCTCGGCACAGCCGGGCGGGTACCGACACGCTCCCGGCTCTTGCTGCAATCCCGCTTCAGACCAGGCTGAGTTTAAGCCCGCTTTCCCAGCCTGCTTCCAGACACAAAAGTGGGAGAGCTCGGGCATGTCTGTCCCCGAGGCAGAAACTTTTCCATCCCGATTAAAGGAGAAAATCCTTTTCTCGATGTCTGGCGTCAGCCGGGCCCGGCCCATCAGACGCCCCACCCACCCCCCCCAGCTGCTTCTCAGCTGTTCCAAAGCTCTTGCATGGCCCTGGGGTGATGGGACCTGCTGGTGGTGGCACTGCAGTCCCTGTCCCCTCCCCTGTACCGCAGGGATGGTGCAGGGCCGATAACCGCAGCGCCGCGCTCTCCTCCCCAGACCATCCACGCTGAGCTCTCCAAGCTGGTGAAGAAGCACGCGGACCAGAAGAACGTGGAGACAGAGATGTACAGGAAGATGCTGGGGAATCCCAGCGCCAGCGGTGCCCCAGGGAAGTGCAAAGACAAGCTGCCCTGGGTAAGGGCTGGGGCTGACCTTCCCAGGGGGGCGACAGAGTGGGTGGGGGTCATCCCTGGGATGGGGAGCGCCGGGCTGGGCACAGGGAATGTGCTAGTGTCCCCCCAGGGCCCTGGGGGTCAACACAGTCCCGCTCCCAGGCTGGGGGGTGCTGGTGTGACCCACGGGGTGGGGCTGTGGCAGGGGAGCAAGCCTTCCGCGGGGCCGCGGGCGCCCGCTGTACC